TTCAATCGAAAAATATTTTAGTTTTACTTTCACTGACCAAATTGCTTGTCTCTATCTTTGATAACAGTACACTTTCTACGATGATAACGCACTCTTAAAACTGAGACGAACAATAATTGTTTTTGATGGGACTTGATACGTTTACACTCTCAGACTTGTGAGTAGTGAGTGTTGCCGTCATTCCTTCTTTATTCATCGTTTTTCCCCCTGACTTTCTCTTATCCTAAATTGTAATTATTCCTGGTAAATTTGGCGGTGCCGTTTTCTCGACAGGACGTCTAACTACAATTCAACAAACGACTGAAATGTATAGTCTTGACCCTTAATTATCGGTAAGTAGCGTCCATAGCCTTGACGTTAGGCTACCAGACTCGTAATCGTTAGATTGCGACTTCAGGGGTTCGGGCCTCAGCTCGTTCCGACGTTGTGTCCTTTGGAAAGGCGCTTTACACGAACTTCCCGCTTGGCTCGGTCCTTTCAGGGAGGGGCGTTAAACTCAGAGGTCCCGCCTTTTAAATAACCTATTTTCAATTTTCGGTATCTATTTATAGAAGCTAAAGCTGATGTAAACAAACACACAAATATAGCTAGATGTAACAAGATAGTTAAAAACACAAGGTCGTTCGAAGAAAAAAAAAAAAAACCTTGAAAACAACGCCCGACTCGTAGGCGGAGTTAAAATAATATAGAGAACTCTTTGTAACAGTATTCCCGTTAACTGACTTTTCCCCCCCACTTAATCTAGTTTATTCTTTCGTTCGTCCTTGACGTTGAACGTGGATCGATAGTCCCGATAACTGCTTTTACTGCCGAGCCCCCTTGGTCCTGTATCTTTTATTTGATCCGTTCTGCCATGAACTTGATTAGTATAATATTTCACAGACTTGTAAACAGATAGGTCCACTGGGGATTGGCCAGAAGTTGCCCGGTGACGTACCACTTTTTGTTCCATATTATTGTGATGAGTTGTTTTTTTCCCTTTTGTATTTCTTGGGTGCATTTTAAAAGGTCTAAGTATATACTGTTTGGTTTTTTTTGTGGGTTTTTTTTTTCGGTGATGAGATCATCGTAAAACGGGCATGTTTTCTTTTATTTCGGACAAGTTTTAGTGGGTTTTTGGTCCGTGCAGGGCAAGACATTCAAAAATAAAGCGGTAAATTGTACAGCCCGATGCAAGGTGAAATAGGTAAATTGTACGGTACATATATTTATGTTCTAGTTAATTGATTTCACGTTAAATTGGCGAAACCAGCTTACAGTACAGGGGGGCAGAAAAACATATATGATACTGTAATTGACAATTTCCTTCCTATCAAACAATTTCCTTTTTTAAATCTCTCTCTGCCTTTTGATTTAGTTATATACGAATCACTTTTTTTTTCCTTTGTCTATTTTCTTGAAGAAAATGGTAATCACGCGATATAAATCTCTAGGATTTCTCTTCCACTTCCAATGAATTAGCTTGGACATACGTGACCCTATATTTCGAGTAGTTTGAAAGTCGGTTTGTGGTAACACCTCTCCAAAGTAATGGATTTGGCGACTTATGGGCTTTTTTACTTATCTTAATACGTTTCCAGTCGATACTAGTCTTAAGTATACCTACCAGTGTTCTGAATGTAGAAGTGGGGGGGGGCGAGTGGAAGTTACGTCCAGAACACAAAAACAGATCAACTCTGTTCAGGCAATTAGCTTAATTGTTATGGAACTTGTAAGTTGTTTTCTTTATAAAGCCATTATAATGTATTAACATCCATTGTTACTGTCTTGATACATGATTTATAGATGGAAAAAGCATGTGTTTAACCTTGTGGAATAGCTAAACAAAAAGTAATGTATTTTCTTGAATACAACAACCGAACTCAGATTTGAAAACGATAATTATAATAATTGTTAAAGCTGTCTGTCTTTTTAAAAGGTTTATAAAATAAGCTGGAGAACAATTTCTGATAGAATTCACCAACACATTCCAAATCTTGATATTGAGCAGGTATTACAATCTTACAAAATAAAAAAGTGGTTCGCATCCGACCAAACAAAATAAGCTATATTTTTCCTTGTGGAAGAGGAACAATAAAAGAGAACATTAAATGGCCCCTAACGTTTGGTGACTTCCAAAGATTAAGTGTCATTGGAAACTGTAAATTTACCCTGTTTGTGGCTTTGGTCAACGCTTTTCAGTAAAATCCACACTTAAGTGCAATGTGTTTTTATATGAACCTAAAAGGTGTTGATCCATTAAAAATATGATAGAAATTACCCAACCGACGAAAAAAAGTCTTTTTTGGGGGGTCGATTTCCTTATTTTAACGAGCATCTGATTTCACCACGATGTCAACCAACATTCTACGAGCTTTAGCTGAGAAAATTTAGTTCAATTTTCAACTTCAGCTTATTGGGTTGTTGGCGGGTGCTCTGGTGGGGTTTGCTCCTTCTTTCCTATCAAACATCTATCATCCTTATCTTTCCTTCTTTTTATGTGTATGTTACTCTCTTGTAATACATCTATTCTTCGGCACTTATATGATCTTATTGTGTTGCAAGTACCATAAAATTCTTACTAATACTAAAATCTAACTTCTGCTTAGATTCCCAAGTGCAGGTGCTTTAGAGGTTACATTGAAAAAAAGATAAAGACACAATAATAAGTATGATCAAATACCTAGAAGACTTCCTGTTTATACACCTGTTCGTTATTGCAGTCTCTGCGAGGTTGCTGCTGGTGCTGGTGCTGGTGCTGTTGTTGTTGTTGTTGTTGTTGTTGTTGTTGTTGTTGTTGTTGTTGTTGTTG